GAATGGCGTTTCGGTTTCGGACGGGCTCAATGATACCCAAAGGTGTAAAGACGTAGTTGATTCCAGCGAAATATGTTGAGACAACAGACAGGCCGCGCAATCTATGCGGCGTAGTACTTGTCCCGTAGTCAGGCATCAATCTTCTCAACAGTACCTGCGCAGCCCTTTCGTTTCTTCTGCAAGCGTTCAGGCCGGCCGGGCACCTCCACATTCCCGACCCTGTGCCGAAGACTAGTTGACCTACCATTCACCCACGGACATTGTGTTGGCCTAGATCTGGTACCCTGCATGATATTTCGCTACAATATTCTTCCGCTCACAAAGTCGTTCACAGCCTGTCGTCACTCAGAATGTCTTCGGCCGCGGATACCTTCGGGTCACTGGTGGTTGCAACTTCAACCGCGCACCTGGGCGAAAGGCCTCAGCACCGCCCCGTCCAGCACTGAGGACCCTGGATCTCGCCCAAAAGAAAGCGATCTCGCCAGTTCATTCCGATCTGCGACACGGCGGTATATCAATACCCAACGAATGAAAAGCAATGTGCGTACACGCACGTCGGGTTGGAACGACGCACGGATGCACGTTGTGCGCGCGGAAACCGCAGTCTCATCCGGAAAAGCACAGTGAGGTCACTGCACCTAGTAACAGGGTACCGCAACCACAACGTGGTGTACTGCAGCAGGCCCTCTCACAGTATTGTCCATGACATGTGACAGGATGCGCTGCGTTGAAGTTGCGATCGTTCGATTGGCCGAAGGCTGCCGTTACAACAAACGTCATCGCTCACATGCAAGCGGTTCCGCATGTGGCGCACTGGAAACGGGATACTCTGTGCCTGAAGATCGTGTGTTACTCGACCAAGACATTGCGCAATGGTATGAGAGCCTCAACGGTGCAAGGGAGACCGGATGGCATGGACACGCGACATCAATGCGCCCAGCTCGTCCCGCTCCGCCGTGCAAGTTAAACTTCAACATGGGAGCCTGTGAAGTAAGAATGGCATCAGAGTTCGAGAACTCAGTGTGACCCGATTGGCCCAACAGCGATTGGCATCAGGTAGGACGAGCAGCAGTTCATATCAGTGGCTCGCTGGGGCAGCTCTGCGATGCGGGGAAACGCAGCCCACCCCTCAGTTCATGGCACCGGTCGACTGGCTGGGCCTGTTGACAACTAAGAACAACAGATCATCGTGCTGCTTTTGTCCTCCGAGCCTCTTCCTTCACAGCCTCGTCCATAAATCTATCTCCTCTGCTGCTTCAATCCAAGTCGTATCGTCGCATAGTCGTTTGATGCTAGGAAGCGGGTAGTCGAGCGCATACCACCCTACCCACTAAACCCGCGACCCACACCCCACTTCTCCGACGCGGACTGGATCCTCCGCACAGACGTCAGCGCACGAGGTACGCACCCAACGTCCCATCTTCCTCTTCACCGTCTTTGAGCATCCACAATGCGATCGCCGCGGGTGCAATCGGAAAGAGAAGGGTTATCGCACGTGCGCGCGCCTTCGGAAATGCACACATGTCCGATGACACTCTTTCCTGTGCGCCGAGCGAAGCTGTACATCTAGGTCGTAGCCGGCTAGCTTGCGACGTCCACGGCCGCGGTGTAAGGCGCATGGGAACTGCGTCTCAGGCTGAGGCTCTGCCAACACCTCACGGACGCACGTCGTAGTGCTATGCTGCTGGGATATAGACCCGGCCATGGAGTCTCTTTTGTGGGCTTTCTTACTTTCTTAGTTACAGTCTTTCTTCACATTTGGTCTATTTCCAGTACAGCATAGCGACAGCGATATACCCCACAGATCTTCCTTTCCTGCATTATCTATTCACATATCAAGACTGCGCAGGCTGTCACTGACAACGCAATGTCGACAACAGCAGCCGCCACTTCGCAAACCCTTAAGATGCCCGCCGCACGCGCTCTCGAGAACGCAAAGCAATCTTCAGAAGCTGTCCTAAGCGACGCATCCTCCGCCATGTCCAAAGCCGCCGAGAACCCCAAGAAGGCCACCGCCGACTTCCTACACACACCCTTCATGCGCGCAGCACTGCCTTTCGTAAACGGCGGCATCGCAGGCATGACAGCAACAACTGTAATTCAACCCGTAGACATGGTTAAAGTGCGCCTACAGCTCGCCGGAGAAGGAGTAAAGACCGGCCCCAAACCAACCCCCGTCACAGTCTTCCGCGACATCATCGCCCAAGGCAAAGTGCTAGACCTCTACACAGGCCTGAGCGCGGGAATCCTGCGCCAAGCCGTCTACACAACCGCGCGCCTAGGCTTTTTCGACACATTCATGAAGAAACTAAGCGCGCGCGCCAAGGAAAACGGTACAGCCATCGGCTTCAAAGAGCGCGCAGGCGCGGGTCTAGCTGCAGGAGGTCTCGCCGCCATCGTCGGCAACCCGGCCGACCTCGCCCTCATCCGCATGCAATCCGACGGCCTAAAACCCGTCGCCCAACGCGCAAACTACACCTCCGTCATCGACGCCCTCGTCCGCATCAGCAAGCAAGAAGGCGTCACACGGTTATGGGCCGGCAGCTACCCGACCGTCGTCCGCGCCATGGCCCTCAACTTCGGCCAATTAGCCTTCTTCTCTGAAGCTAAACAGCAGCTCAAGAACACGTCCTTGTCGTCGCGCACACAGACTCTTACTGCGTCGGCGGTTGCAGGCTTCTTTGCGTCGTTCCTGTCGCTGCCGTTTGACTTTATGAAGACGAGGTTGCAGAAGCAGACGAAGGGGTCGGATGGCACCATGCCGTATAAGGGCATGTTTGATTGCTTCAGGAAGGTTGCGAAGGAAGAGGGGCTTTTGAGGTTTTACCGTGGCTTTGGGACGTACTATGTCCGTATTGCGCCGCATGCGTAAGTTTTTGTCCTTTGGCGTGATGTGAGGGTGTGTGCTAACGAGAGTGATAGGATGGTGACGCTTATTGTCGCCGATTACTTGGGCTTCATCACGAAATGAGAGTGTTGAGATGGACTATTTTTTTATTATCAGAATGAGGCGTTTGGAGTGAGGGTTTATGGCGTTTACACGTGGCTGCTATTGCCATTGATGTTGTTTCGGCATTGTCTTTTCTCTTTGAACCATCGTTCATTCACGTATCCTTCCGATGGAGGCGTCCGTTAATCGCTCAGGACTAATGCATATGGTACGCTGCCATGTTTGCGCACGCACGCATGCTGCCAGTATACGGGTGTCTCAATGTGTGTATCGCGACGTGACACAATGCTGTACTCATTCTAGGAAGAGTATTTTTTCTCGAGGAAATTATTAGAGTAGGCCTTCAATGTAACGCGTTAGGAAAAGGGTTTCTGTTATCACAATGATTCTGCAACTACTGATTTTTACTTGAGTATGCTTCGTGACTTTGAGTGACGCTCCAAAAGGATCGCGAGTTCAAGGTCTGAAAAATGGTCTTGGGCTGTAGTTGGGTGTCGATACTTAGTGATACCTTGATCAGCTAGCTACACCCCATTTGACATGTTCTTCGCTAGGGTGGGGTTCTTGAAGTCAGGACATTTATCATTCGAGAGCAGCTCCCCGCGCATGGACTGCTGAAGAGGTGATTGACTTGCTGTCTCGAGGTCATCACAGTCTTAGCGGAGGCTGTCTTGCGAGGTGTCCAGCCTATCATAGATGTATTGCAACTGCCAAGGAGCTAACTAATAACGAAGGTGACGGGATTCGTGACGTTTCAAGCTACCAAAGGACTATCATGACTACAACGTAAACCAGATGACCATAGAAACACTCAGTGCGGCGCCGAAAATGGCACGAGAGGACGTATGGACACTCATAGCCGCACCACGTTCCGCGAATACCATACACTTGCCTGTACGATCGCTCTCCTTTCGGGCTGGCGCGACGCGAAAGCTGCGTGCACCGTACTCCGAAGTACCGCAATTGCCTTCTTCCTCGCTCCAGCAGCTGAAGCCATACCAGGGAACAGGGGGATTTACCGGGAGGTCACTGGTAGGATCCCAAGTATCACAGCCTTTAGCAGGATAAATAGAGACTGAGCGATCCGCGTACTCGTTTGTCTCAGCAGATAGTACCGGGCGTAGATGATAGAGAACACTGGTGTAGTTCACCTCGGGGCTGTATAACTCGGCGTTCTCCACTGCCCAGTAAATGCCTGCTTCGCCTGAAAGCTGCCCGAGGGCCCAGCTTGTGTTCGCAAAACCCTGAGTGGTGTTCCCGCCAAAGACGTCTTCCATCTCGAAGCAGTACTCGCCGAGGGGGACGGTCGATGTCGTAAAAGTCAATGCGCTACTGCTGTTGCGGAAAGAGCAGGTTTCGTCTTGGCTCTCTTGGAAGAAGCGAACTGTCAAGTTGTTGCCACTTTGGAGTCAGTTCATTGGTTGTGGGTATGCATAGAGTAAGTGATAAGTACCTTACGATGTCATATTCGTAGGCGTGAGCGTTGGGCGGAAACAGCAATAGAGCGACCGATGCCAGTCCACTGGCAACTTGCAGGAGAGATAGCATACGAGATTGATGCATAGTCTGGTAGTGATATCCGTTTCGAGTGTATTTCGTATTCCGTCAGTAATGGCCTGTAGGTAGTTCGATCGTCCGGAGAAGAAGAAGCGGAGAAGTCTCAGATTGTACATGCAGTTGAGATGTGTGTTGCGCGAAGCCCTAGCATAATAGAACCACAGTCTGCCGAGTTGACATCGTCCCAGTGCTCATCTGTGAAATTGCAACCACATGATGCATGAGCCGGTACCCGTCGGGCGGTGCCCGGCTGAGTTGGAATGCCCTTTCCAGCATTCGCCTATTGGCGGTTAATATGATTTGACGTGGCGCCAAGCCTGGGGATGCCTCCCGAGGTCGCCAAGCTCCCGCTCGCCCCGCGGGCCAAGATGCTTATGTGGCACAGTCCGCTAGGCGTTATGTCATAACTATACGGAACTCTAATCACACCCTGCATTGGGATACGCTCGGTGAGCCCGTTGCTAACTGTGTGGCACAGTCGTTCCTTGCCGATTTATCCATCTTGGTAGAGCGCCAAGATCTCCCCAAGGAAAGGTGCCAGTGGGAATGAGAGCCAATCATCGTGCGCGAAGTTAGAATGGGCTGGATTCCACTTCTGAATCTTATTGTAAGACTTGTGCGTAACCTTCGCGGCCCGCCTTGCAACGCTGGTGCGCTTCACCACGCTGACGGCCTCCTCGTCAACATCGACGCAGTCCGAGCTGCCGACGGTCTCGGATGAACAAAGTGGAGTAAGGGTCTTCGTGGCCATATCGCAGAACTGGCCGTCAGATTCAACGAAGTCGAGGCCCCAGGACATGGCTGAGTCGCAGAGTTCTGGGGCCGTTTGGCTGGTCCAGTTGGAGACGATGAGATGTTCGTGCATCCACGTAGGGCGTTTGGGGATGCTTCGCTTGGCGGGCTTCGCTGCGTTGGTGATTACCTAGGTAGCCATTTACTCATATGATTCACTGAATGATGTACTCACCTGTCTCCTCCGTAGAGAGTAGAAGCGCATACCACCTCTTCGTCACCAATTGATGTGACGTCCTTGCCATACGCACCAAGGCTGAACTTGAGCGCTGCGTTCACGATATCGTTCGAGCCATCTTCGTCAAGCCTGTATAGTTGGAGGTACGAGTCCAGCCTAATTCTCGATCGCAGTCCGTAAAGTCAGAACTCACCAGGTGCACGAAGGGATATAGTCTTTGCCGGTGTCTCGATACGTTCCAGCCTTTTCCTTGCTGTAGTAAAACCTCTGATCACAGTAGCGGCCTATATCGCCGGTCCAAGCACCACCCACAGTGCCGTCGTATTGAACGACGCTAACCCACGCGATGTAAGTAGCATCGTCATTGTTGGAAATGCCTATGTATTCCCCTCGTTGGGCCGCAACAGACTGGGAGATCATCAGGTGCCCGCAGGGTCTATCTGACAACCGCCTGATAGAGCAAAGAATTCGTTGGCTTGGCCCCATGAGTAGGCACCATTGATAGACCCGCCCTACTTCCTTGTCAGGCTGTGCGACCAACGTTGAGGCATTGATGAGGCAGGACTGACGAGACTGTCTTCGTCGTTGCCAGGATCAGCAAGACCAGCTACGGAAGTAGTATATATTAGTGACGCGATCTCAAATTCATCAAAAATCGTTTCGCATGGATCTCGTACCTTTGATTTTGAGGCTAGTGCCACCAGCATCTTTACCGGGGAATTGAGAGTCGAAGAAGTTCACGAGAGACAGTCCATCGAAGATAAACCTGCTTGTAGCTTCTTCAGCTTCAACACAAACGTGCGACAACGTGATGTTTGAAAGACAAGCAAATCGTGACAATAGAAGAAGCAGGAAAAGGACCGACATCATGATACCATGCGGCCCGGAGAAGCTGGTCTCGCCGCCCACATATACCAGAAACGTGCCAAGATACCATCTCTCGTTTAGCAAGCACGCGAGCGAGGACACCGGGGTAAGCAGCCACGAATATCATACCACGTGCTACAGCCATCACATTCAGCGACCCCTCAGTACACAAAGCTAACGACCACACGTCCCATCCACTAACCCCCGCAAACCTCACATCACACAACGAGGCAACATCCCCTCACCTCCTCCCACCACCAATATCCTGGCCCAACCTATACCCACTAATCTTCTCCCACTCAATCTTCTGCCTCGTAATCGGCAACTGTCTCCTGAGCGCCTTGAACGCGCCCTCACTCAGACTACCAAACGCCCTGTTAAGATCCTCCTGATACTTCTTCTCCTCGGCCGCAATCTTCCTCACAACCTCGCTTCCATTCGCACTGGCGCCCGCACTGAGACTAACCTCCTTGGTCGTAAGCAGACGCACGTTGCCGTCTTCGTAATAGTGCACGTCTACTTTTATGCTGCCGGTGATGGAGCCGGAGGACGTGTCGTAGATGTAGGAGCTGCGCCAGCGGCCGTTCCAGTAGTTTGTGGGGGAGTACTTGTTTGCGACCGTGATGATGGCGAGGGAGGAGGGGGAGGAGGGCACCGGGTATACGCCGTGAGAAGACTTGGGGTAGTGTTCCGAGGCGTGGGTGCTGAGCGACTTGTTTAGGCTCTTGCTGTTGGGGTGAGGTTAGGTTAAGCTTTTATGCGGCATGGGTGTGTTGGTAGCCAATGGGTGTGCACGAGGGATGCGCGCGGGATTGGCTTGGCGAGGGGAGGGGCGGGGCGGAACGTACAGGAGCTCTTCTTGTGCGCTTTCCACCACGTAACTCTGCACAGCGCTGGCTTTGCCCGTGGCGTGGTCAAAGTCAAAGGAGCTTTGTGTGTCGATGTCGTAGTAGCGGCCGTCGCCTAATGAGTTGTACTGGCTGACTAGGACCTCGGTGCTGCCGCCGGGGAGCTTGGTTGTGGTGAATTGCTCCTCGTTGTACTTTTGGAAGGCGGGCGAGAGCTCGTTTTGGACGGCGTCGTCGCCGAGGATTGACTTGATTGCCTTGGTGACATCGGCGAGCTGTGGTGCTGTTAGCAGGTGTACTGGAGGGAGGGGAGCTCTATTTTGGTGGGGAAAGTACCTCGCCAGGCGGCGCGCTGTCGATGAAGGAGGAGAGAGCTGCTGTGCGTGACATAGCTGCGATTTGGCTATGTAGCAGAGGGCGGGTATGCTTCTGTGGTTGTCTCAATTGTTTGGCGCGTCGTGGAGTTGCGGGCGGACGTCGAGGCGCGCAGCCGCTTAGTGGGGCAAGGGCCAGCAGGGCGAACAGGGGTCAAACATCCATGTGCCCATACTCGATTGCGGAGGACGCTACGTCAACTGCAGTGCACGCGGACGATGTTCGCATCACGTTTATGATATTGAAATTGGAAATTGACAATGGGTATCTATATATATCGAGCAACCATCGTTGGCCTCATTAATCCTGGAACGCCGCGCTAAGCCGTGATCAATGCTAACATTATCTTACAAGAAGTCACATGGCCATCACTCGATGCTCATCTTCATCAAGCCGTCGTTGGTATCCGTCATGCCCTGCAGACCTATCCGCTTTGGGCCCAGTGTCGGTGTCATGCTCATGCTGCCTCCACTGTTTGAACGCTCACCGTGTGACTGACCGCTGATCGAAGTCTCCCGACTGGCTTTAGTATTCGTGCCCCAAAGACTGCTGTCCCTTTGTGCTGGCGACTGCGAGATAACCGGGCTGTTGTGAACACTGAGGCCTGGGGAAACAGCACGTCGTTTGATCGAAGCTTCGTCAAAGTCGTCGTCTCGTCGGCGTTTGTTTGACTTCTTCAAGGCCTCAGCTGCTGTGGGGGGCTGCATGGGACCTGGTGTAGATGCTCGGGATGCTCCGCCATTCATAGAAGGCGAGTCCATGTTCATGTCCTCGCTCATTGCGGATGACTCTGCGCGAGGGAAGGATGGCGGTGGAGTATGTGCGGCGCGTTGGTTCCAGAATCCGTTGCTTATCGAGTTGCGACCACTGTGAAGACTACCGAATGCGCCGAAAAGTCCCTTGGACGTTGATCCGTCTAGACTCATGTTGCTCTCGCTGCCCTCTTCCGGGACACCTTCGAGCGGACCGTCCAGCCCGGGTACTGTGGGTAGTAGATTGGGCGATGATTGCGCTGTATTAGAGGGCCGCTCCAGATCCGTGTCGCTCTCTCTCACTTGTCGGATGATCTCGGCTTCGCGACGGAACTCGCTATCAACCGGTGCGGCTTCTTCAAATAGCTCCGCTCGTATGCGACCGAACTGCCTCGATTTGGGCTGGTAAAGTTAGCATCTGATGTCTGCGTGTCAACGGAAGTACATACCAGTAGATTGCCTCTCCGCGTGACAACCCGCCTCACCACACCTGGAGTCTGGGGCAGATTACCGCCCTCGTCTCCGCTGTCATTGCCAGACGAGATGTGAAGGTCGTTGGCAAAGAGCGACAGGCTCTCTCGTCGTGATCCCGCTTTCCGCATAGCCGCTTCTCGCGCAAAGTATCCTGTATCCTTGCCGTTTGGCGGCGATGCTGGCCCAGGGCTTGCCATGGAGCTGTGTCCGCTGGCCGAGCTCGAGCTCTTCCGGCTGCGACCCTTACGCAACCTTGCCCTGTGCATGCTCGCAAAGTTGGGCTGTCCACCAGGCGAGAACAAGTTCGACCACGCGTTACCGGTATTGAGTCCGGGGAAGAGAGTGTTGGTCTTCGCCTGCGGGGTCATGATCATAGGATCGTCGTTGTCCTCAGGGTCCAGTGGATCCACCTCGTCCGAAGAGCTACTAGAGTCCTCCGAGCCCATCATGTTGATGCTGCCGACGGAGCTGGACGGGGCGGTTCTATCGCCATGGCTCCAGCCCCCTTGCATGCTCACATTGGGCGAGTCGAGCAGCATCGAGTTGGAGCGAGGCTTCCGCGGCGGTATCTTGATGCCCTTTTGCGTGATCGTCGGCGAGGAATCTGGCGAGGATTGGTCGGGGAGGGTCGAGTGGTGGAGGTTGGTGCAGGCTCTCGAGAACTCGGCACCGCGCGACCGTCGGGGCAGCACAGAGGCGGGCGACGCGTACGTGTTGCGCGAATCTAGCTGGGGCGAGAGGGGCACACGGGCAGCGAAGTGGGCGGGACTGGGCATGGGCGACTCTCGCGCAGGCATTTGCAGCGACAGGCCTCGCGAGAGGAAGTCGGGTCGACGCGGTGTGCTGGGGCTGGCGACGATGGTCTGATCATCTTTGGACATGCGAGCGGGTTCGCGGAATTTCGGAGAGGGCTCAAGACGGGGCGTGCTGTCCGAGAGCGACCGTGCTTTGGGCGAATTCGTCTTTGACGGCGTTGTCGCCAGTTGAGGTTGCGACTCCATCATGGCTCCCTCGCCCTGTTCGGCGGTACTGCGCTCGCTACCGATGTCTGGCGTCATCGTCAACATTGAGGTGGAAGGTTGATATGACAGGAAGCGACCTGAAACGCATTCTCTCAGCAACGCGCTGTGATCAGAGTCAATTTGTCGGGATTGGTGAATGGCCCGTCCGTTGAACGTCAATGTCACGAAGCGGGGCCTCTCGTCACGTGCAAGCCACCGTCATGGGTGAACCATGCTATGAGGCTTTACCTACAACCACAACCTCTGATATTTCTGGAATTGAAACTTCTGTAGCACAGGCTGTGTAATGCTATACGAAACGTATTAACAGCTTCCATACGCCTTCGGTATGATGTTGATCATGACGCGTAGGTCACCCATAGATCACCCGTGCCTTCGTACCCCTGAACACTCTTTTCATGCTATTGCTAAGAGTCCACAATTCCTTGCACCCACTCGATGTCCTCCCAAGTTGCCTCCCAGATGTTGAGGACTGTCATTGTCCATTCCTTACCCTCGCGCTTCATGGTGCCAATGCAGCGGCAGATCCGCCCTTGCTGTAACAGTCTTCTGCTGTCGTACTCGAAGAGCTGCACCGACTTCCAGACAGCAGCATTATACACTGCCTTGATGTAAGGTGGCTTGGCGTGGAAGAGGTCGCAGAAGGTGAACTGCTGCTCTGTACTAGTCCGCTCAGAAGCAAGCACTCTGGCATACATCTCAATCATGATGTGCTTCCCTGATTTGGATGCCTGACAGCTTTGATTAATCACTTCACCGATGCGGAAACATGTCCTGAGCAGTAGGTTTGACGAAAGACCGATGATGGGTGAGCGATCACGGACAGCCTCTGGAAATGGTGGCCTGACAAATGGTTTGCGTATCTTCGATGAACCTAGATCGCCAGTTGCGGCTTGCAGGCGCGTCGTGAGAGTGACCGGGGAAGTGAATTGCTTTGACACGGGCTGACAGGTCTTCTTGTCAGGACTTCCATCAAGTATGGTAGGGGCATCCGCACAGGTGCCGGGAGGGTGACGCAGTCTGTCATCGTCCCTGTCCCCGGGCTGCACAGAGCGGTTCAAAGCAGCATTTGCAAGGTCAGG